TTTACAAATATTATCTCATTTAAGCCTCACAACAGGCAAACACTTATGTACAAACAAGACACATACAGGATAAGTAAGGGATAGTCTCAGAGGGAAGGCACTAAGATTACGGAAGACTTCTTGCAGAAAAGCCAGAAGGTAAAGATAAGGAAGGACAGCGTTCCACACACGGAAGGCAGACAGTGAAAATGCTCAGAGTTGGGAGATGGAGTATCTTATTTGAGGAACAGCAACATCAGTGTCATTAGATCTCAGAGTATGTGGAGGATAGTAAGGTATAAGAAAACTTCCAAGGCAGGAATGGGCCAGGTTTTGAGGGGCTTTAAAAGCCAAAGAGAAGATTTTATATCTGATCCAGAAGAAAATATGGAGCTAAAGGAGTTTATTGAATGGGAAGAATGACATGGTCAGACTTGCACTTTAGCATCACTTGATGAGCCAGAGCCTCCCAAAGACAAGAGAAACACTAACTGCCTCTGCTTTCTTGTCCTACAGAGAGGGTAAAGGGATAGTTCCTGCCTCCTCCCCTTGCTCAAAGTAACCAAACCTTGGGTAAATCTCTATACCTCCCCAAATCTGGGACACCTGGAAATGTCAATGTTACCCAAAAGGAGTTATGCTGATTTTTATCTGTACTAGCAGCTCCAACTCAACATACTCAGAGAATGGTTCCAAAAACTACACTTCTGCCCCACAAGCTTTTGCAAAAATCTGAGGCTAAAGGTCTTGACTGAGGTCCTTCTGCTGGCCGGTGAACAAAGGGCAAAGGCAAGCTGAAAGGGCAGCTCCCCACCCCCAAAGGAAGCAGAAATCTCTCTCCATTGCTGCTATTAGCAGCACAGGGCAACCTGTCAGCCACATGTGACATTCTGGCAATGCCAATGGAACAAATCTAGTCACCTGCAAGTGAAGGTTACTGAGCAATATAGATACATACATGTACACAGGAGATATATTCAAAACACAGACAAGACCACACAAAACAAAGAATCAAAGACTGGCTCATATGAAGAGAGAAATCAAGAACTGGAGCAGTTGTCTACTTTGGCATTTATATACTACCTTATATTGTGGTAATTTTTTCATACACAAATATCTTATCTCCCAAACCAGAATGTAACCTCCATGAAAGCAGGAATTTAAGAACCTAGGCATATGGCAGGTACTCAATAAATATTTGTTGTTGATCTTCCACTAAGCTTCCCACTCTGACGCCTCACTACATATGGAGGTAATTTTCAGTTTTGCATCAGATACTAGAGTACAATGACAAGTCCTATACCAAGCCAGAATGGCTTAGACTACAGGCTCAGTGATTAGCCCAGCTAAATTCAGAGAAAATCATCACCAAAACGATGGTTACCAAGTGATGATTTTTTTTTTGACACAGAAACTTATAAATCCATCCAAGCTGTAGAAAAGCTAAAATCTTTATTGGTGGGGAGAATATTTATATGGATGGAATCACAGATTATTTGAATTACTGTAAAAGATTATGATGGTGATGTACACAATGACATAGATGGTCAGAGAGCTGCACTAAGATAAAGAATGACAAAGACAGAATACACACAAACATACATATGGCTACATGACCTTATCATCTTTACGGCGATTTTTCCACTTGTATTATCTGCTCCTCACAAATTTCTGCTCCTTCCTACCTCCCAGAGGTGGTATGGAATGAACTGAAATAGTAGGGTACTTATGAATGTGCCTGGGAACAAAGTTGCCATGTAAACTTAAGGGAGTAATAAAGGGGCACAGATGATTTGACACAAATAGACATTTGCACACAAGGACTGGAAAGCTGGATTTGAACAAACACAAATGCACACAATCTATACAAATGTATAGATCTGGTCACAGATACATTTAGAGGCAAACCTAGACAAAGATAATTACAGCTAGGTTTGTATAGCACTTTAGTTTGCAGAGCCCTTTACATATATTATCTTATTTGATACAAAAAGTCACTCATGAGATACAAAGTGTCACTTAGGAGAACATATCTAGAACTTCAAGCACAAAACGTCAAATAGTTACTGAGTGCCTACTACGTGCAAAACCCTGTAATTAATTTATAAGAACTTCCCAGAGTGAGGATAAGGCAAATAGAAGGTTATCCAATAGCCATGGTTCTTCCCAGGATGTCTTCCAAGGGCATTTCTCCCATGCTGGCCAAATCCTTCTTAGCTATTTCCTTAAACTGGAAAGTTGGGCTCTTTCAGAGTACACACAATTTTACTCAGTGATCTGACTGAGGACAATTTAGCTCTTAGTACATGAGCTCTTTACTGTTTCCATCACAGTCCTTAGGGATTTTGTAGATCGTTGGGTCCAACTGCGCCTAGAAAGATGAAGTAACTTGCCCAAGGTCAGTTCATTGATGGCAGAGTTGTTATTTGAACCCAGTTCTCCTGGCTCCCAGTCCAGTCGAGAGCACTTCCCAAATCTACAATGTTGATCGTTCCTGTATCATTTTTTGGAGGTCCCAATTTTCCTCTTAGCAAAGAAAACCATTTTTTTTTTAGAGGGAGGGGTAGTGAGGGATAACAGCTAACGTGAAATGAGTGGGGCGATCCCTGGAAGAAGGACCACCGCAACGGCAACGCTCCCCAACGATGGGCTGGCACAAGCGCCCCGCGCCCTAGGCTCCCTAGCACCTAGGGCTGCCCCAGCCTGGAACGGGCCCAGGGCCTAGGAAAGGGAGGAGACTCGCCTTCAGGAGAGCAGATCCAGGCTACCACCCAGCTTCCTAAAGCTAGTTGGGACCCAAGGAGACCTCAGCGTAAGGGCAGCCGGGCTCTGTGAGGGACAGGGGTCACCGATAAGGTCCAGCCCAGGCAGGAGACCTGATGTCCCTGGCCCCCTCCCTTTCCTTCCTCAGCCCGGCAGTGGGGTCCCGGCTGGCCCCGGACCGGAGGCTCTCGCCGCCGACCCCATCAGCTCGGAACCCCCTCCCGCTCACCGTCTCCATCCCGCTCCACGCCAGTTCCTTTCGTGCCCTCCGGGCCACTTCTTTCCGGATCCGCCCCTTTCGTCACTTCCAGCACCAACACCTAACTTCCGCCGCGTCACGCAAGGACGCGCGGCCTCCGCCCTTCCGGTAGCGACCAGTCGCCTGCGAGCGGCAGAAGGGGCGTTGCCTTTCCCCCTCCCCTCCCGGCTGCGTCCGGGCCCCCAGGCCGCTGGTGGCGGCGCTACCGAGCGACTCCAGGCCACTTGTATTTAAAATGCTTTTTTTTTTATTTGTCCTTTAAAAACAAACTTGGAAGAAGCAAAATCCAAAACTTGCCCTTTGCCTCTCACAACATAAATTATGTACAGTTCATAATGATCGCCGATACAAAACATGCCACGGACAGGGGCTCTGGGGGCAGGAGGGGCGAGGCCTAAAAAAGGGGGGGAGTCATTTCATCTGTTGTTACGAAGGACAAACCTTGCTGTACAGCATACACAACACAAAATAAAGTCTTCACGGGATTCACACTTGTCAGCGATTTTTTTTTTCCAAGGGAGGCTGAGGGAGGGAAAGGGGGTAAGGAGAATCCTGGAGATGAAGGGGGAGACTTTAAATGGGGAAACTGAAAATCGAATATGTGCAAGTGTAAACCAACCCAAAATACAAACACGGGATGGGGGGGGCGCTTCTGATGCAATTATACAAGCGGGGAACTTAAAAACAAAACAAAACAAAAAACCAAAATTCCAACCTTGCAGCTTGGGTCTGAGTTATAGTTTATATAAAAATTAAAAACTGTATAAGGTTTCTTCACTAAGATCTACAGGACTATCAGATACCTAGCATATGCTTACAAAGTCTGCCCCCCAGACCCCTTTCCCTCCCCAATCCCAAACCCTAACCTGGGCTCCAGCCCAGTCTGGAGCCAGACCTTCTGGGGCCAGTCACCAATGGGTATGGCCCAAGCGCTCTCCACTCCCAGCAGCCCAGGCCTTTTGCTCATGGAAAGGAAGGAAGAGATCCAGTGGTTGGGGGTTGTGAGGGCAGGGTCAGGATGATGGTGGTAGAGAAGCCCAGTTTTTTTGCTGCCTGGTTTATTTACAGCAGCTCCTCTTTGCTCCTTGTGGGGTGAGGGGTGGTGGGTGGGGAGGAGTTTTTTTTAAACCTTTGCATCTTTAAACAGTTGAGGAAGCAGCCTTTTCTTTTTCCCTTAAAAAAAAAATCTTCAGCCTCCTCCCCACCCCTGCCACCCCATTCTATCTCAAATTAAAACACAAAACAAAAACTTAAAAAAACCAAACAAACCTAAAAACACAACAGCGACTAGGCTCCCTGCTCCAGCCCTCTCCACTGGCATCACCTTCATCCTCATGCTCCAAATTTTTGATTCTTTAAAATAATTACAAAATGCCCTTTTGCCCACAGCCCCTAGAAGAGAGAACTGAATAAAAACTTCATCTTCAAACCTATGGCTCCCTACCAGAGAGGGGCCTAGGGGTTACTCCACCCCCCCACCCCCACCCCCCTACTCCAGGAAGAAGTTCAATCAACTGCAGCACAAGTTAGGGAGGGAGATAGGAGAAAAAGGAGGGAGGGGACCGTCACCCTCTGGCTCCCCTAGGGGCCAGCTCACTTTTGTGCGTTATAAAAGTCCAACTGTACATCTGGGAGTGGGGAAACTGAGCCCAGCCCCTGTCCCCTCCCCTCACCTTTACAGCAGTCACAGCCAGGGGAGTGGGGGGGGGGGTGAGGAGCAGGGCAGCAGGTCTGGGATAATGGAGGGCAGCCCCCCCACAAGGGGAGCTCCAGGTGTCCCTCCCCTCGCCCCCTGCCATTTATAAACTGGTTTTGTAAAAAGAAAATAGATATATTTATATAGAATATATAAAGCACAAAAATTAGTAGTTTTACATTTGCTCTCCCCAGGGGGTGGGGGGGAGAGGGGAGGGTTCTCACCTCCTGCTGGCCCCCCCATGCCCCACATGACTATATACAATCCGGCTTATAAATAGATAAATACCCCCCCACCCTCCCCACGATGACACTAAGCTCCCCTACCCCCAACACCTCCCTTTCCCACCAGACCAGCAGCAGTTTGGTGGCTGGGGAAGTAGGGAGCTCTGGGCCCCAACCTGCCCCACGGGGAATGGGTACATAACTCAAGAGAACCTCTTTCCCCTCAGATTCCAGGGAGAGGCTGAGGGAGGCACTGGGCTCATGATGGGGTTGGGAGTACAAGAGGAGGACACCCTGGTTCTGAAACACAACCCCAACACCTCCCCCTCCCAACTTGTTCAGAGGGGGAGAGATGCACAACCTCTGAGGGGATCAAGGGGTCACCCTCTCTCAAATGCTTCCCATCAGCCCTAGTCACTACCCCATGCCCACAGTTAAAAACAGATTTTTTTTTTCTAAAGATTTTCCTTTTTTCCCTCCCCTCCCTTCTACCCCCAATTCAGACAGGGGGTTGAGGGATTAGAGGGCTGGGGAGAGGGTCTCACATTTCAAAACAGCAAAAAATCCAACACTTAAATGAGGTAGGTGTGGGTGCAGGATCTCCTTGCCCGGCTTGCCTGCCTTGCCCGCCCCACCCGGGCAGCTGGGTGCCTCTTTCCCGTTCGTGTTGCATTTGTCAGAGAGAAAACAAGGAAACACAACCCAGAAAGAGAGAGATGGAAAGAGGGACAGAGAGACACAGAGGAGAAGAGGGAGACAGAGAGAAAGGGAAGGAGGGGATTAGGAAGTGGGGACAGGACCCAGCGGGCAGGGCCAGGTGTGGGGACCCAGCCTTTGGGATTGTCAAGCTTAATCAAGTCTCTTTGCAGCCTTGAGTTGGGCTGGGGACGTCAGTGGGAGCACTGGGGCTGGGAGACCCAAGCTGCCACCCTCCTCACCGTCTCTGCTGCCTCCCAGACGGTGCTGGGTAGTTCCCAGCCCATTTCTACCCAACCCCCCCACCCCCCGAACCTGAGATGCCCAATGGCTGTTTCTGTCTGTCGGCTCCTGGAGCTGGGGGCAGATATGCCAGCCTGGGGCCTGTGGTGGGGGAGGGAAGTCATCCCTGGTGCCCAGAATGGGCACTGCCCCGGGGCCCTTAGCCCCATCCTGCTCCTGGGGCTCTGGTCAGCCAGCAGCCCCAACTCTGGGTCCTGGCTCTCTTCCCCTTCAACCCTTTCGGGAAGGGCTTTGGAGGGTTTCCCCTGCCCAGTTGCCTCTGAGCTTAATTCATCCACTTCCGGCAGTTCCAGGCTCCACAGTGGCAGGGGATTTTGTGCTGATCATCCTCAAAGTCAAACTGATAGTCATAGGTCAGCTGGGGAGGGAAGGGAGAAAGAATCAAGTCCAGCCAGGCTTTACGAAAAAACAACAACAACAACAATAACAACAGTTCAAAGGAAATCACACTGCCAATCACATCACTCACCTCTTCTCCTTTGGGGATGCGCCGGCTGGAGATGATAATGATCTTATCCTCCTTATCGAAGGTCACGACCTCTGCCACACAGTTGGGGGCACAAGAATGGTTAATGTACCTGAACCAGAAAAGACCAGGGAGAAATCAGTGTCAGGGAAGTCTGGCAGTAAGGGCCAGTTTGACCCTGACGCACCCCTCCCTCCCTCCCTCTCCAGCTCACCTGGCGGGCCCTCCAGTAAGTGTGGCATCAATCACATGCTCATTGTTTATACGAAACATATAGATACCTCGATTCTGTAAAGAGGAAGGGAACAGGAGAGACAGATTCAAACAGAGCTCCCCAGGTCTGCCCAAATGTCTCTCATTTTCCCTTGAAGACTCAAGTTTGCCATCAGCCTGAATCCCCAGAACACCCTACACACAGCTCCTCTCCCTTGTCCTAACCTGCTCCTCATAGATCTTCTCTCGACGGTTGGCCACCTCATTTCGGATGATGGTGCCAATGTACTCAATGACCATGGTGTGCTTCTCCAAGTCCTTGGCAGCATACAGCCCCAGGCCCTGAATACGAGATCGAGCCAGGTACACGTTGTTCTTCCACTCTGTTCGAAGCCGTCGATACTGGGATGACTTGGAATGCACAAACTGTTTGCTGTATGGGGTGTTGGTCTCGCCTGTGAAGGTGCTCTGGTATGCCTTGGACATGCTGGTGCTGTTGAGGGTGTGAGGCCTGGGGGCAGCAGAAAAAATGGCAAGTCAGATCTCTTCTAGAATGAGTGGGCACACAATGATCTGTACTCAACCCCGGCCCTGGGATGGGGCAAATGTTAGCCAGGCCTCAGGAAGTGTGCTATGGGCATATGGGAAATACAGTCTTGGCCAATGGAGACAGCCCTAATTTCCTGTAAGAGTCTCCATCTTGGTGGGGTAGCAGTTAAGATCCATATGTCCCTCTATTCCCATGGGTACAGAAAACCTAAGATGGGTCTAGGAGTCAAATAAGCTAAACTCCTCCCATTCTGAGTGTGGATACGTTCACTCTCTCATGACTAACCCAACATATGTGCTCTTCCCTCAACCACCCTTGGGGACAGTCCTGTCCCTTGGATCTCTAGCATGCTGTCCCCTTACCACATTAGAATAATTCTTGAGAACTAAACTTGTTTACACTTTTGCCTGCCTTTCCTTCCACCCCACAAACATGAACACCACAAATTCTCCCCAAGATAGGGACAATATCTATCTCCTCTTGTCTCTGCACCAACTACTCAATGTAGGAAAATGATTAAGTAACCTGTTTGACTCTCCCACTGCCCCCATCCCCGCTGCCCTACCTCTCCCCGCCCCATCCCCACCTCCCTGCTTTCTACTCCCACTCCGTCTTCTCCCTCAGCAACCACCTAGGCTGCATTCCTGCCCTTCATCTCTGCAGCCCCACAGTTCAAGTCCAGGCCTCCTTGCTTGGGGCTTGGTCACATACAGTGACAGAACTCCTTTAAAATTGTTTCTGTCTTCCTGTACCCCAGCTGGTGGGCTAGGATCCACTAATGGCATAGTGAGAAAAAGCACTGAACAAGTCAAGACACCAGGGTTTTAGCTCTGGGTCCATCTTTGACTTGCTGTGCATGTCAATTAACTTCTCTGGAGCTCAGTTTCTTCATCTGAAAAAAGGGGGTAATACCACCTGCCCTACATACCTCATAAGGTTGTTGTGAGGATCAAATGAGATAATGGATGTGAAAGCGCTTTGGAAAAAAAAGTATAAAATGCTATACAAATGTGAGGTTTTAATATGCTTCCAATTACTATTCCTGGGGCCACCTCAGCCTAGGGGAGGTGGACACTAGCATTCCAGGGTGCTTCCGAAGGCACCCTTTTAGGCTCAAGGTGGAGGGAGTCAGAGCCCCTTAGAGAGGGGAAAGGGAAAAAACTGTTGGCTCCCTCATCCATCACACCATTAAATACCTGCCTACTGCATACCTCCCCAGCAACACTTTCCCACCCGCTACCCCCACCCTAAACTCTCAGCTGGTTAGGCAGGAAAGACAAGGCACCTTTAGGGGGCCCCTGGCTTCAGCCTCCTCTATTCAATATGCCTGAGCGATTCCCCAGCCTTTCCAAGGGAAAAGATGTCTCGATTTTCACACCATTTCCTCCCCACTGTTATCCCAAAGTCTCCAATCCTCCACCCTGTTTCCTACCCATTTCCTTGGCTTCAGACTCCTCCCAAACCTGGCTCTACCTCAGACTCCCTCAACAAAGAGGCTCACCGTTTGTAGTGGGTGAGAATTTTGGGCTCAGAGCGGGCACAGCCAGTAGGGTTGATCATAAGAGGCAGTTCCATCAGTGGGTGCCGTCCATATCGAAACAAATAGTTGTGACAGCTTTCCACCCCAGGCAGCTGTGGACACAGTGAGCAATCTACCATAGCCCAGGCCCCTGGGAGCAGCACTACCCCACCCAGCCCACCCCAGAATCCTCCCCTCATCTCTCCTTACCGACTCTGCAATTCGTAGGACGGCGTGCACTGTCAACCCAAAGAGCTCCTCGCCCTTAAGATACTCTGGAAACAATCGAAGCATGTCGGCTTCCTTTCGCATGGCAGCCACGGGTTCGATGATACGGTTCCACACAGCTGAGAGGAAAACAGGGTTACTATCAAAAGGCCCATTTCCCCCCAAATCTGGACGTCCCCCAGATACAAGAGCTATTGTTTTATCTGTGGCTCCCATGACCTATGGCAGGGGTGGGGAACCGGCGACCTTTACAGAACAAATCCTTTTGTTAAGGATTTATTATTATTTAT